ACCCCCCCCCCCCAGCGTCCTGAGACCTCAGGTTTAGCTTGGTTTTCTCCAGGAGTTAAGACTCGAAGTGAAGTTCAGTCCAGTCCCCTGGACGAGCTGGTTTCTCCCGCACCTCCCCTCCTTTGCCCCTCCATCCTACCCCAGCCGGTCCTGGCTTTCCTCCGGGCTGAGCTGGTCGAATTCCTTGGCCACATCCCGTCCTAGGAACGCCTCGTGGTCGTACTGGAAGTTCCCATGGACGTCATCATGGGGGACCTCGCTCAGGGGGGTCCTTTGATGCACTCTACCCTGGCCGTGAGGGCCAGAGTCAGGGGACGGCTTTGCTTGCACCCCGCGCCTCAGCAGCAAGAGAAGCAGCAGCAACCACGATCGCCACATCTCACTGGTCCCTGGGGAGCGGTGAGGCGGAGGTCAGGGGTCGCAGGGAAGCAAAGCGGAAACCAGACAGATCATGGAGGGGGGGGGGCGTATGCGGGGATTGTCTAGGACAGGGCTGCAAAAAGTTGGGGGCTGAAGAAAAGGCCAAAGAGACAAAAAGAATAATGTTTGGAGGTAAAAACCACCTATGGGGGTGGAATCTGAGCCCCACAGGGGTCCCAGGGCAGGAAAAAGGAGATTTAAGTTGGAGACGTGGCGCGCATCCTACAGAAAGTTCAGGACCAGTGATGGCTGGCCAAAAGCATCCTGCAGGCCCCCGGGTGAGGCCCACGCGAGCCCGGACCGCGACCCCCATCTCGAAAACCCCTTCGGTGCTCAGCCCCCCACCTCTTCACCCCGTTACCCGGCCTGGATTCGCTCCCCACGCTGTGCTCTGTGTCCACGCAAAAATGTCCAATTTGGCCGCCCTCCAGCCAGGCTCCGCCTCCGGCCGCGTAGAGGCCCCGCCCTCCGACCAATGGGAGTGCAGGAAGGGGCAAGGGGCGGAGCCAATGAGCTCTAGGGTATGCCCAGGACGCGCTTCGCCACGTCCACAAAGTCCTGGCTCGGCCCGCGGTGGGCTATGCGACCGATTAGAACTGATTAGAACTACATTCCCGGCAGGCATCGGGCCGGTTTGCGGGACCACCTCCAGCGGCTCTAACCTCAAAGGCTTATGGGAAATGTATTTTTTTCTTTTCCTTCTCGCAGGATGGTTTAAGCAAAGAGGCAAAAGAACACAGTGGCTGAATTCCTTAAAAGGCCTGGCTAAGGTGTAGGCGTCGCGTAAATTTATGAATAAAAATACAATAGGGGCTGGAGAGGTGGCTCATCGTTTAAGAGCACTGGCTCCTCTTGCAGAGGACCTGGGCTCGATTTCCAGCTTCTACATGGCAGCTAACAAGTGTCTATAACTCCAGTTCCAGGGCATCCCACACCCTCTTCTGCCCTCCGTGGGCATTGCATGACACGCGTGCACGTACACACATGCAGAACACATAAAATAATAGATAAAATATTTTTAAAAAAGAAAATAACGATACACAGATTGGGTCCAAATTTATATGTGGGAGTGGAAAAGTCATATACATTAGGAGGGGAAACTGAGGCAGGTCATAAAAAGAGGGGTCCAGAGGGAGGACGTCAGACCTAGGGCTCCCTCCGGAGGCTCAGAGACGCCAGGAGTTCAGGCCATACAGCACCACCCACTGCAACTGGGTATTGGCGGCCTGAGGAGGGGGCATCAGGCTGAGGCTGGGAAGGTGTTTGCATCCTGAGGGTCAGTCTCTCGGTGTAAGCTCAGGCCAGGCAGCAGGTCACCCACATCATCGCCGCTGAGAGAAAGCCAAGGGGCTAGGAAAGAAAGAGAGAGCAGGTCCTCAGCACCTGGATCACCCATGTCTCCCCATCCATGATCTCCCCCCCCCTCTGTCTCTCTCTCTCTCTCCATCTCTTTCTGATCCCCTTGCCCTTCTCTCTGGGTCTCTGTCCCTTCCTTCCTTTCCTTCCTTCCTTCTTTCTTAGACTCTATCCCTTTCTCTCTCTCTCTCTGGTCTCTGTCTCTCTTTGTCTCTCTGGGTCTCTGTCTTCTCTCTCTTGGTCTCAATCTCTGTGTCTGACTCTCTCTGGTCTCTGTCTCCCTGTGTCCCTTTGCACACCTGGAAGCCCGCTCCGCATTCGTGTCCACAGCAACACTCCCCCTGCCGTGACCACCAGGACCACCAGGAAACCAAGGACGATTCCAACCACAGGCACGGAGGATCTGGCCCTCGAATCTGCAGCCAGAAATCCTTATGAGGACATGGAAGAGGAGCGAGTCACTCCCAGGGCCTCAGGGCCATTTGTCTTAGGATGGAGGCATGCAGAGGGAAGTCAGGTCACATAATTCCCTGGACAGAATGTTCCCACGTTGGATATAAGAACCCACAACACTGAGAAAACTCAGTCATGCTGTGAGAGCTGGGTGGGCCCCAAAGGAGCAGCACACAGCAGCAGCAGCAGAATGAACAGTCAGATTCCAGGAAGACCAGCAGCAGCAGAATGCAAGGCAGACAGACTCAGGAGGACTGGGCCAGGGGCCAACAGGCAGGCAGAGACCAGCAGGAGCAGAGTAGAAGGCAGTCAGACTCTAGGAGGACCAGCCTCACCTAGGTCCACAAGGAGAGGCTGTGCCAGCCCTACGTGTTCCACGTGACATTGATAATGGTGTTCGTCTCCGCTTTTGACCTCCAGTATTGACCAGGCATGGAAGGAGCCATCACCATTAGGGCCAAAGTCGATATCCCCGATGCCCACCAACAGCCCATTCCTCAGGAAGCTCAGCTGCAGCTCCGGAGGGTAGAAGGAGAAGGCCGTACAGGTTAACACTGAGCAGCCGGGACTTCCGGGCTGGGCCTTCAGTCGCATAAAGGGCGGCTCTGCAAGGCACAGGGAACAGCCCTAAGCTGGGCTTCCACACCAAGGCTGAGAGTGGGTCTGGTAAGAGACAGATGCCCCCTTCCCTGTGCCCTGTACCTTGGTGACCCTGGAGACTGTGTAGGCAAAGAGCAGACTGGTTCTCAGGGTGACAGAGACCCAATCAGCCACCATAGAAGGTCACCGTCTGATTCCACCTCCACACCTCTGCATCTCCACACCTCTACCACCTCCATCACCTTCACCATCTCCACACCTCCATTCTTTCCTTCTTTTTTTGGTGTGTATGTGCATGTGTGATGTGTGCATGGCGTGTATATGCATGTGTGCACATGTGTGTGCCAGTGTGGCGGTCAGAGGTCAATATCAAGTGTCTTCCTCTGTCACTGTCCACCTTATATTTTGAGGCAGTCTCTCACTGAACCTAGAGCTTCTCTCTTTTTATAGACTGGCTGCCCATCAAGCCTCCAATGTCCACCTCTCTGCCCCTCTCAGAGTTGGGGTTATGGGCATATACCACCACATCTGGCTTTTATTATGTGGGTGCTGGGGATGTGAACTAAGGTCTTCATGATTGCACAGCAAGCACTTCACCAACTAAGCCATCTCCCCAGACCAATCCATTTTATTATTTTCTTTGTTTTGAGATAGGGTCTTGCTCTAGCCTAGGCTGGCCTCTGACTCTATGTAGAACTCTCTATGTAGCCAAGGATGACTGAACTGATCCTCTGCCTCCTGAGTGATATCAGATGTGTACCATCATTTGCACTGGGGATGGAACCCAAAGCTTCAGTCAGGCTACACAGGCACTCCACAAACTGAGCTACAGCCCCAGGCCCATTCATTCCTTCCTGAATGGACACAGACTGAGCACCTCTCCAGTACCAAGTACCACTCTTGGCTGGGGACCCAGCAGAGAACCAAGTCAAGGCACTGTCCTAGCTGGGTGTGATGGTACATGACCATCCCAGGACTCCGGAGACAGAAGCAGGAGTATCATGAGTTCAAGGCCGTCCTCCCCTAAATATCCAGTTCAAGGCCCACTGGGCTATGACAGACTCTTAAAAAACAAAACAAGCGGGGCATGGTGGCACACACCTTTAATCCCAGCACCCGGGAGGCAGAGGCAGGCGGATCTCTGGGAGTTCGAGGCCAATCTGGTCTCCATAGCGAATCCAGGCCAGCTGGGGCTACAGAGAGACCCTGTCTCAAAAAGACCAAAACAAAACAAAAAACAAAACAAAACAAAACCACAGTAGCTTAATGATAGTGAAATGAAGTTTGATACCAAGAGTATTGGATCATGCCTGTAATCTCAGCACTGGGATGTTGAGGCAGGAGGATTACTTTGAGTTCTGGGTCAGCCTGGACTACATAGCAAGCTCCAGGACAGCCAGCACTATGGAGTAAGACCCTGTCTCAAAAACAAAAACAAACAAGTTGGGGCTGGAGAGATGCTCAGTGGTTAAGAGCACTGACTGCTTTTTGCAGAGGTTCAATTCCCAGCACTCACATGGCAGCTAACAACCATCTGTAACTCCAGTTCCAGGGGATCTGACTCCCTCTTCTGGCCTCTGCAGGCATTGCACACACATTGTGTACCTGCATAATTGCAGGTGAACATTCATACACATAAAATAAAAATAAATCAATCAAAACAGTTTTTGAAGTTTGGAGGATGGTTAAATGGGTAAAAACAGTGAGTACTGTCCAAACATGAGGACCTATGTTCCGATCCTAGGACCCACATAAAAATCTAGATGTGACTACATGCTAATTCTAATGCTGGCTGAGGTGTGCAGAAACAGAAGGACCCTGGGAGCTTGCTGGCTACCAGCCTAGCTCCAGGTTCAGTGAGAGACCTCATCTCAAATGAATGAGGTGGACAGTGACAGCCACCTGATGGCCTCTCTGGGCTCTGCACACAAGCGTACCTGTACACACGTGCATAACCACACACTAACCAACTTAGTGGGGCTGGGAATGCAGTTCAGTTGATAGAGTGCTTTGGTAGCATGCACAAGGTCCTAGACTTAATCCCAGCACCACATAACCCTGGTGGCACACACCTGTAATCCCAGGTAGAAGCAGGAGGATCAGGAGTCCAAGGTCATCCTTCACTACATAGGGAGTTTGAGACCAGCCTGGGCTACATGAGACCCAGAATCAACAACAAACAAACCCCAAAACTAAATGCAAGTCCAAGGGTATTTGTGAACCCAGCAGGGCTGTAATAACAAGGGCGTTCCCTCCATCCGGGGTGGGCATGGCACTCTTGGCTCTGGTTGGGACCTTGGCTATGGGTGCTCAGCAGAAAATAAGCTGACAGTTCCTGGGGAAGAGAAAGCTGGGCCGCTTCCCTGTGAGAGCAGTCTCTCTTGCCAGCTCACAAGATTTGCTGCACAGTCAGGTCAACCACACAGGGCTGGACCTCTGGTCAGCACTTCTGTGTCCTGCCTCCTAGTTACTATTGTTTTCTGGTGAGGATGTGCCTTCCTGTGCTAGAGATGAGGGACATGTCAGTCCCTCCCACCTGACGAGTCCCCAGCATTCAGCCCAAGTCCTAAGATTCAGCCTGGTCTGTGCTTCTGCTAACAAAAACACAACACTGAAACACTGAAGGAATGCATTTCTGAACTGTGTGGCACAGGGGCAGGAGAGATGGCTCAGAGATTAAGAGCACTGGCTGCTCTTGCAGAGGATCTGGGTTCCCAGCACCCACATGGTGGCTAACAACCCCTCTTTAACAGCAGTTATAGAGTATCTGATGCCCTCTTGTGGCTTCTGTGGGCATTGCAAGAGGTACACTTACATGCAGGCAAAACATTCATACACATGCATGTGCACACAAACTATGTTGCCCAGATCTGTAATCCTTGTTCTCAAGAATCTGAGGTAGGAGAATCATAGGTTCAAGGCCAACCTGGGCTACTGAGTGAGTTCAACGCTAGCCTGGGCAACTTAGTGAGACTTTGTCTAAAAATAAAAAGTAAAACAAGGACTCATGAGGGGCTGGAGAGATAGCTCCGTGGTTAGTAACATGCCAAGCTATTTCAGAGGAACCAAATTCAGTTCCCAGGGCCCACCTCTGGCAGCTCGCAACCACCAGTAACCCCAGCTTCAGGGAACCCTACGCCCTCTTCTGGCCTCCATGGGCACCTGTACACATCTGCATATACCCCCCCACAGACACACAGGCACATGCATACATGCAGTCACACACACACACACACACACACACACACACACACACACACACACAAATAACAAACATTTTTGAGAATGTTAATAAAAGGGGACCAATACCATAGAGGAGTAGAGGTGCTTGCTGCCAAGCCTGACGACCTGAGTTTGAATCCTAGGATCCACAAGGTTGAAGGAGAAAACCAACTCCCACAAATTGCTTTCTGATCTCCTCACATGCTGTAGCTAGCTGGTGCTTCCACATATACGGAAGTAAATAAAATGTAACTTAAAATTCTTTTAAGTTAAAAGAAGGCTGGGGGGTATGGCTCAGCGGTAGAGCTCCTGCCTAGAGTCCCCCAGTGAGGGGCTGGGGTGTGGCTCAGTGGTAGAGCCCCTGCCTAGAGTCCCCCAGTGAGGGGCTGGGTGTGGCTCAGTGGTGGAGCCCCTGCCTAGAATCCCCCAGTGAGGGGCTGGGGTGTGGCTCAGGGGTAGAGCCCCTGCCTAGAATCCCCCAGTGAGGGGCTGGGTGTGGCTCAGCGGTGTCTTATATTTATGGAAGAAAGGAAAGAAACAGTGACAGAACCTCATATGTGACAACATGAGGCCATTATTAAAAGTAAACAAAAAGTAGAAACAAAAACATACCAAGTGTATGCCAGGATGTGGAGAAACTAGAACGCTCATGCTGAGGGGCAGGTACATGGTGCAGCCACCTTGGAGATTCTTGAAGAAATTAACCCGGGGGCAGGAGAGATGTCTGGGTGGTGAGAACACTGGCTGCTCTTGCAGAGGACCCAGGTTGGGTTCTCAGCACCCACATGGCTGCTAACAACTGTCTATAACTCCAGTTCCAGGGGACCCAATGCTCCCTTCTGACCTCCGTGGGCATTGCATGACATGGGTGCACTTGCATACATGCAGGCAATGCAATCATACACACAAAATAAGAAAAAAAAATGATTTTTTTAAAATCTTTTTGAGACAGGGTCTCCCTGTAGCCCCAGCTGTCCTGGAACTCACTATGTAGACCAGGCTGGCCTTTAACTAACAGAGATCTGCCTGCCTCTGCCTCCTGAGTGCTGGGACTAAAGGCGTGCGCCACCACGCCTGGCTATAAAATATTTTTAAAAAGTAATTCCTGGGGCTGGGGAGATAGCTCAGCAGGTAAGAGCTGAACAAGGATAGGGTCCCGAGTTCAAATCCTCAGGACCTATATAAAAACCTGAGCGTGACTTTGCACCTATAAGCCCAGCACTGGGTGTGGGGCAGCAGAGAGCAGAGGGTGCTGGGCCTTGCTGGCTCAGTGAGAGACCCTGACTTGGACTAAGATAGAGCAAGATGCCTGACATCCTCTTCGGGCCTCTCTGCATGTGTATAGGTTCACATCATTCCCACGCACATGTGCATGTACCACATACATACATCACACATGCACACATATATTTGAAAAATTAAAAGAGCTGACAGGATGGCTTAGTGGGCAATGGTGCTTGCTGCCAAGTCTGACAACCTGAGTTTGATTCCCCAGCACCTACCCAGTGGAAGGAGAGAAGTGACTCGCACAAGCTGTCCTCTTCCACATGTGTGCTGTGCCACAAGTGTGCATACACCAACACCCAAGATACAATAAATGTAAAAATTTAAATCATTTTCTAAAAAGGAATTCCTACTTGGAGATGCAACGCACTTGGCAGAGTTTTTGCCTAACATGCATGAGGTCCTGGTTACCATTCCCAGCACCATGCAGTGTGGTACCGTGTGCCTGTCATCCTGGCACTCAGGAAGGGGAGGCAGAAGGATTGGAAGTTCAAGGTCACCCTCACTTATGTGGTGAGTTCCAGGCCAGCATGAGCCACAGACACAGCCTCAAAAAAAAAAAAAAAGTTGACATAGACACTTATCCTCCAAGAGCAAGATGCCACTGTACTGCAAAGAAGGTGACCTGTGTTCAGCAAGAACAAGACCCTGTTCAATCTCCAGAAACCATACTAACACACGGATATGGCTGGGCATGTTGGGCACAACTTTAATGCCAGCACTCGGGAGGCAGAGGCAGCTAATTTGAAGTTAGCCTTGTCTCCATAGTGAGTTCCAGGCTGGCCAGGATTGCATAGTTTAACACTGTCTCAAAAACAATAATGAAACAGGAGGCTGGAGTGATGGCTCATCAGTTAAGAGCACTGGCTGCTCTCGCAGAGGACCGGGGTTTGGTTCCCAGCACCCACACGGCAGCAGCTAACAACTATGTATAACTCCAGTCCCAGGGGATCCAGTGCCCTTTTCTGGCCTCCGTGGGCATTGCACACATATGATACTGGCATAATACTCATACACATAAAAATTAATTAAAATAAGTAAATAAATAAAACCTTCTTTTAAAAAAATGGTGAAAAGTGCCTGAGGAACAAGACTTCAGGCTGTTCTCTGACCTCCATATGTACACACACTCACACACACACACACACACACACACAGAGACAGGATGAAATGCACAGTATAAATAACTAACTTCCTCAAATCCAGTTTGTTAGGGGGCTAGGGATATGGCTCAGCAGTTAAGAACATCAGTTGCTCTTGCAGAGGACCTGGATTTATTTCCCAGCACCCATATGGCAGCTAACAACCATCAGTAACTCCAGTTCCAGGGAATCAGATGCCCTCTTCTGACCTCTGCAAATATTGCATGACATGGTACACGTGTATACATGCAGGCAAAACTCTCGTACACATAATTGTTTTCTGAAAATCCATTTTGTTAAGAAAGAAAGAGGAGAAGGGCAAAGAAACCTACAGATTCAAAGACACTGTCACAAACAAGGACTCATGTTGGGTCATAGACCTGTATGCAGAATACAAAGGTATAAAACTACAAATAACAGAAGAGCTAGGTCATTTCAGGAGGGGTTCCAAGACAGTCCGGTAAAAGTACAGTCCACAAAGGAAAAAGAAATGGTAAATAAAATCATTCCACATTGCAAAGATACATTTAAGAGAACAGAAGATGCTGGGCATGGTGGCGCACACCTTTAATCCCAGCACTCAGGAGGCAAAGGCAGGTGGATCTCTGTGAGTTCAAGGCCAGCCTGGTCTACATAGTGAGTTCCAGGCCAGTGGGGGCTACAGGGAGACCCTGCTTAAAAAAAAAAAAAAAAAAAAAAAAAAAAAAAAAAAGAGATTTGTTTGCTTTTATTTTCTGTGTTTGCCTGTATATATTATGTACAGCACATATGCGCAGTGCCCACCAGGAAAGGGCATCAGATACCCTGGAACTGGAGGCACAGGAGGATGTGGGTGGCCATTTGGGTGCTGGAAACTGAACCTAGGTCCTCTGCAAGAGCAACCAGGGCTCTTACTCATGAACCACCTCTCCAGTTCAAGGACAACATTTTGAAGAGATGAATTGATTCGCTGCAACATGTGGACCCTAATTCAAGTTTGTTTGTTTGTTTTTTTTTGGTTTTTTTTTTTTTGGTGTTTTTGAGACAGGGTCTCCCTGTAGCCCCAGCTGTCCTGGAATTTACTATGTAGACGAGGCTGGCCTTGAACTCAGAGAGACCCGCTTGCCTCTGCCTCCTGAGTGCTGGTACTAAGGGCATGCACCACCACTCCTGGCTAAGATTTTTTTTTTTAAATTCTTGCATCGTATGTGTTGATGGGTGTGTGTGTGTGTGTGTGTGTGTGTTGTGTGTGTGCCAATAATTGTAGGACCAAAAGAGGATGTCATATGCCTTGGAGCTTTAGTTACAGGAGGTTGTGAGCCCCCAACATAGGTGCTGGGAACCGAACTTGGGTTCTCTATAAAAGCAGCAAATGTTAACTACTGAGTCATCTCTCCAGCCCCCTCCCCCAAGATTCAACCTTTAAAAAATATTTGCAGGGACTGGAGAGATAGCTCAACGGTTAAGAGCACTGATTGCAGAGGACCCAGGTTCGATTCCTAGCACCCACATGGCGGCTACAAACCTTCCTTAACTCTACTTCAAAGGGAATCTGAATCCCTCTTCTGACCTCAGAGGCATTGCAGGACACAGGTGCACTCACACACATGCAGGCAATACACTCATACACATAAAATAAAAAATAAATAAATAAAATATTAAGATTTGCACACATTTGCAATTCGGACATGGTGGTGTAGACCTGAAATGTCGGCACTTGGGATCCTCGTGGAGGTGGTCGTGTAACTACAAGTTTGAGGTCAGCCAGCCTGGTCTAAAAGGCCAGCCAAGGCTACATAGTGAGACCCTCTCTCACAAAGAGCAGTTAGCTGGGTCTAGTGGCACAGTTCTGTCATTCCAGCACTTGGGAGATGGAGGCAGAAGGATCAGGAGTTCAAGGCAATCCTGGGCTACATGAGACTCTACCTTAAGCAAGGTCGGCTGGGAAGTGTGGGCACAGACTGCACTGCATAGCAAGGGGCTTCTGGGAGGACATCAAGTGTGGCTTTGGGGATCCAGAGATGGAACAAGAACAGAAACACGGGGAGAGGAGATGGAGTGCTTACCCTTCCAGGTCAGGTAGGAGCTGCCCCTCTCCAGGTGGCCCAGCAGCCGCTCATGGCAGGAGACCAGCAGGAACTCGCTCTCCGCCCTGGCCACCTCTGGCTTCTTCATCCACAGATTACTGACTGTCTCTGTCTCGGGCCACTCTCCACTCCAGTTGCCAATTTTGGGGTCGAACTGCATGAATTCCTCACCATTGAGGGCAAACAAGGCCGTGGGTGATGAGGAGTTGTCAGGGGCCAGTTCACAGCCCAGCAGACCTTGCATCGTGAAGTCACCTGAATAATAACACCAGAGAGCTGAATCAAGGCCAGGGCCAGCCCCCCAGACCCAGATGCACAGATCCCAGCCTCCTTTCTCAGACCCAGGGGTGCAGACCCCAGCCTCCTCCCTCAGACCCAGGGGTGCAGACTCCGGCCTCCTCCCTCAGATCCAGGAGTCTAGAATCCAGCCTTCCTCTCTCAGACCCAGGGGTACAGACCCCATCCTCCTCCCTCAGACCCAGATGTACAGGCCACAGACTCCTCCCTCAGACCTGGGGGTGCAGACCCCGGCCCCCTCCCTCAGACGCTGGTTTCTTTGCCCTACCTTCCTTGCCATGGGCTCTGGCTTCCCCTTCCAGAGCTTCAAGGGCCTCCAGGAAGAGCTGCTCCTTGTCCCTCAGGTCCGCCGTCTCCTTCTCCCAGTACCAGGCCATCTGGGTTTCCCACACCCAGGCCCCCCAGGGGTCCGCTTGAGGTCGTGTGCTGCTGTAGCTCAGATACTGCTGAGTACCCAGCCAGCCTGTGACCCAGAAGGCAGGAGTCCCCTGTGGTGGGTTTGACACAGCTGTGAGGTGGTACATCAGGGGGGGACGGATCTCTGTGCAGAGGAAGAGAGTTAGAGTCAGTGGGAACACAGGGACTGGATTCCAGCAGGATGTGAGGCCAGGGACCTACGAAAAGAGAGAGAGAAACAGAGAGACACAGAGAAAGAAAGAAAGAGAGAGAGACAGAGAGACAGAAACAGAGAGAGATAGAGGCAGAGACAGAAGCAGAGAGAGACGTAGACAGAGAGACAGGGAGAGACATAAACAGAGAGAGACAGAGACAGAGAGAGACCCAGAGAAATAGGAACAGAGAACACCGAGATATGGATAGCATTTGGTTCATACACAGGGTTCAAAGACTGCATAAAGCTATAAACAATGGAGTTCAGACGCGCCAGGACGTGAGTGCACGATATCTTCTTTTTCTACCCTCTGCCTCCTCTTTCCTGGCCCCTCAGCCTGATCCGGCTCCCAGTGGCCTCTCACCTGTGCCCCAGGTCCGAGGCAGGAGGGCAAGCAAGAGGCTGAGGCCCCAGGGCCGGAGCATCCCCATCCTGACAGGCAACCTGCAGCAGAGGGGCACGTGACTCTCCTGTACCCCACCTCACCGCTGTGTAGACCAGGACAGTGGACAGTGGAGATGGAACCCAGGCCAAGACCACAGGACCTCCCTGCTTCTTTGTGAACTTTCACCCCCTCATTTGAACCACTTTAGTTAATGAATTACAGAACTGGATTGACTAAAATTTGTCTCTCAGACTTATATCATTCCTCTTCCCCCTCCCTCAGACCAGGAGCCTGACCCCAGCCTCCTCCCTCAGACTAAGAGCCCAGACCCCAGCCTCCCCCCTCAGATCAGGAGCCCAGACCCCAGCCTCCTCCCTCAGACCCAGGAGCCCAGGCCCCAGCCTCCTCCCTCAGACCAGGAACCCAGACCCCAGCCTCCTCCCTCAGACCCACGAGCCTGACCCCAGCCTCTCTCTCAGACCCAGGAGCCTGACCCCAGCCTCCTCCCTCAGACCCAGGAGCCCAGGCCCTGCCTCTCCCTCAGACCAGGAACCCAGACCCCAGCCTCCTCTCTCAGACCCAGGAGCCTGACCCCAGCCTCCTCTCTCAGACCCAGGAGCCTGACCCCAGCCTCCTCCCTCACCCAGGAGCCCACGCCCTGCCTCCTCCCTCAAACCAGGAGCCCAGACCCCAGCCTCCTCCCTCACCCAGGAGCCCAGACCCCAGCCTCCTCTCTGCCCCTCAGCCTGGGTTCTTGCTCACGGCAGCTGTGCTCCCTTTCTGCAGCCCTGTGCTCCCTTTCGGCAGCCCTGCGGATCTTCTGCCTGGAGCCCCTAGTTCCTTTCTTACATCCTGTCTCTACCCTGTGCTGTGGAACTCTGAGGGCATCCAACTCCACCCCCAGCTGCAGAGCACGCCCCTGGCCCTAGGCCCAGCCTCTCTTGAACCTTTTGTGGTATTTCTTTGGAAGCTTCTTGAGGCCATCTGTCTGTTTGTCCGTCCTGATCTTCCAAGGCCCCTGCCTCCCAGGGCAGCTTCCCTATTTACTCCTTCAGAGGTTTTTGACAGTTCCCTCTAGTCCCGGAAAGGCCAATACCGTTGCATGTTGCTTTAAGACACCCCAGTACTTCTGGGCTGGGGGTGTGGCTCAGCCATGGAGTGGTTGCCCAAGACACAGATACTTAGTTGGAACAGTTGCTATAACTGGCCCCAGCCCATTTCCAGCTGTGTGCCTGCTCCAACTCCCAGCGCTGCCCAGCGTTGGCAATGCTGACTCCGGCAGCCGAGCCCAGCTTGCAGCTCTATGGCTAGAGCCTCCTATAGGCCCTGTCCCTACCCTCCACCCACCCAGAATCTTGCCAGGACCGATAAATAGCACAGAGACATAGACACAAACAGGTGGGTAGGTGGACGGGTAGACAGACTGTCTAGAAGCCAGGTGTGGTGGCTCAGGCCTGCAATCCCAGCACTTGGGAGACAGAGGCAAGAAAGAGAAAAGTGTGAAGCCCGGGGCTAGGGAAACAGCTCAGTCTGTAATGTACTTGCCTTGAGCACATGACTTAAGTTCAGATCCCCGGCACACTCATAAAAAGCTAGCCTGGAGGCTGGAGAGATGGTTCAGTGGTTAAGAGCATTGGCTGCTCTTGCAGAGGACCCAGGTTCAAATCCCAGCACCCACATGGCAGCTAACAACCATTCTTAACTCCAGTTCCAGGGAATCTGATGCCCTCTTCTGGCTTCCACTGGCACTGCATGCACATGTTGCACTTATACACATGCGGGCAAAACATTCATATACATAAAAGAAATTTTAAAAAGATACCAAGGACTTGCTGGTCAATGAATGTAGCTGAGACTTGGGTGTCGGGCTTCAAAATATGGTAGACAGTGATAGAGGAAGACAGCTGATGTTGACCTCTGGCCTCCATATACACATGTACACATGTGTGCATGCACACACAACTTTGGAAAGTTGGGCATGGTCACATACAACCGTGATTCCAGCACTCGGGAGGTGGAGGCAGGAGGATCAGGAGTCCAAGGAACACCTTAGCTACATAAGGAGTTCAAGGCCAGCCTCGGGAGGCAGAGGCAGGCAGATCTCTGTGAGTTCAAGGCCAGCCTGGTCTACATGGTGAGCTCTAGGCCAGCTGGGGCAACAGGGAGACCTTGTCTCAACAAAGACAAAAAAGAAAAAAAGAAAAACAAAGAGAGAGAAAGAGGGGGAGGGAGAAAGAGAAAGGGGAGAGAGAGAGAGAGAGAGAGAGAGAGAGAGAGAGAGAGAGAGATGCCTGAATGGGGCAAGACACTAGCAGAGACTCAAGAATTCCAACAGTCAACAGCGTTTGCTGTGACTTCAGCTCACACAGACGCAATGCTCCTTATGTTTCGGGAGATTTCAAAGAACACTAAGCGATCTGCCACATCAGGCCTGGGCATCTATGGCCGGCCTTTCCCTTTTACTATTACAGATCTGAAAATTCTCACAAATAAGACTATAACCTTTGTTTAGAGTAAAAAGATATCTTCGCCCCCGTGTGCAACTCCGTGACCTGGAGTTCTCATTCATCAGCTGTAACCCTATCCCATGCACCTCAGGAAACTCCTATGACCTCGTTTACTAAAAAAAGAGAAAGGAAAAAGGGTGGAGGCTTTAAAACCCTCCTAACAGGGCAGGTGTGGTGGCACACGCCTTTAATCCCAGCACTCAGAGGCAGGTGAATCTCTGTTTGATGGAGGCCAGCCTGGTCTACCTAGCCAGTTTCAGGTCAGCTGGGGCTACAGGGAGACCGTGTCTCAAAAAACAAAACAAAAAAAGAAAATACTTAAGCAAGAGTGTTTAAGATTGGAAGCGTTCAGCCCTTCCTCTGAGCACCTCTATTTCTATTACAACCCATGGATAAATCTAACATAAATCCATATTAAAATTTCTCCCAGGGCTTTGGTGAACCGAGTTCAATCCCTGGAGTCCTTATAAAGAGGGAAGTAGTCAACTGTGCACGAAGTTCTCCTCTGATCTACACATGGGTACCATGGCAGAGTGCCCCCCATATCACATGAGTTCCCGTGAGGGTGGGAACACACACACAGACATTAATACATTTAAAATTTTGGTCCCGGAGCTGAGTATAGTGGTGAACACCTTTAATCCTAGCACTTGGGAGGCAGAGGCAGGTGGATCTCTCTGAGTTCAAGGCTAGCCTGATCTACATAGTGAGTTCCAGTTCAGCTGAGGCTCTAGCAAAACCCTGTCTCAAAAAGACCAAAAAAAAAAAAAGACCAAAAAAATGGGGGCCACAAGATGGCTCATTAGGTAAAGGTGCTTGCTGCCAAGCCTGATGACCCAAGTTTGATCCCTGAGACCCACAAGGAGAGAACTGACTCCTACAAGTTGTCCTTTGGCCCTCACATGCATGCTACACACTTGCATGTGCACACTCCATCTCAGGAGCCATCATCCCACTGTGGACAGCGCTACTGTGTGAGTGTGTGCGTGTGTGTGTGTGTGTGTGTGTGTGTGTGGTGTGTGTGTGCACATATGTCATGTGTGTATAAGCCTCCTTATGATTGTGTATGAGAGTGTGTGTGTGGTATGTGTATGTGGGAGGTGTGGTGTGAGCTTGTGCATGTATGTATGGAGTATGTATGCATGAGTGTGTGTGGAGTGTGTGTGTATATGTGTGTGTGGGTGCGTGTGGTGTGTATGTGTGTTTGTGTGTATAACTGTGTGTATATGTGCATGTGGAGGGTGTGGAGTGTGTATATGTATGGAGTGTGTGTGCATGAGTGTTTATGTGGTATATAAGTGTGTGTATATGTAGTGTGTGAAACCAGAGAACACCTCAGTTGTCTTCCTCAAGACCACTGTCCCCTTCTTTGAGTCAGGATTTCTCCCTGAACCTGGACTCACTGGGTAGATGAACCCCAGGGACCCTCCTGTCACCCTTTCCCAGTGCCGGGATTACAAATGTGCACCAGCAGTCCTGGCTTTTCTCCCCCTATGGCTTCTGGATTTGAATTCAGGTCCTTGTGTTTGCAAGGCAAGCACTTTACTGAGTTGTCTCGGCAGCCCAAGAATTTTGCTCTTCAATGAGCATGCTCAGACGGTCAGAAGTTCAATCCTTTCCACCCACCCTTGCCTTTCACAGATAACCAGTCCCAAGAAAACACAACCCACACTGTCAAACTTATTCCTCAGCAGAATGAGATGCCCAAACATTCAGACAGGAGCCCACAGATGTGCCACTTGATAAAACCCAAACAACCAGGATGCAGTGACACTAAAACAAGGCTGTCCCGAGGGCTGGGGGTGCAGCTCAGGGGGCAGAATGCTCACTTGGCATGCAGAAGGGTCCAATTCCTCAAACAGAAGCCAAGGGTGGTGGCATCCAACTTTAATTCCAGCACCCAGGAGGCAGAGGCAGGCAGATCTCTGTGAGATGAGAATAGTCTGGTCTATGTAGTAAGCTCCAGGCCAGCTGGGGTTACACAGAGACCCTGTCTCAAAAAAACAAAACCAGGGACTGGCAAGATGGCTCAGTGGTTAAGAGCACTGTCTGCTCTTGTAGAGGACCTGGATCCAGTTCCCAGCACCCACATGGCAGCTAACAACCATCCTAACTCCAGTTCCAGGAGATTCAATGTCCTCTTCTGACCTCCTCAGGCATTGCATAACCTAGGTACACTTACATACAATGCAGGTGATACATTCATACGCATAAAAAAGTAATAATAAATAAATAAAAAACCAAAACCCAAACAATTCTCAGAACGGCATTAGCCAGGCATAGTGGCACATGCCTGTCATCCCACAGTTCTGGAGGTGGAGGCAGGAGGATTCAAGGTCATCCTCAGCTACATAGTGAGTTTGAGGCCAGCCTGAGGTTACCTGAGACCCTGCCTTAAAAAAAATAGTTTAAAAAAGTAGTCCTGGGGCTGGAGAGATGGCTCAGCGGTTAAGAGCACTGTCTGCTCTTGCAGAGAACCTGGGTTTGAATCCCAGCACCCACATGGCTGCTCAGAACCATCAATAACTCCAGTTCCAGGGGATCCAACGACCTCTTCTGACTTCCGCGCACATTGCACAGCACGGTTGCACTTACATACATGCAGACAATACAGTCATACGCATAAAAATAACAAATATTTTTAAAATAGTCCTCTGTCCTCCACAGACGGTTCCTCCACTGTCTCACCCACTGACTGCATCTAACCTCTACTACCTCTTCTCGGTGAGTTCAGTCACAGCCCACACACCACCAGCCCATCGGCACCATCTCTGTCATGGCTTTTTTTTTTTTTTAATGTATATCAGGGTTTCGCCTGCCTGTATGTAAGTATACACGCAGAGGTCAGAAGAGGGCATTGGATCCCCTGGAACTGGAGTTATGGGTGGTTGTTAGCCGCCACATGGGTGCTGGTGATTGAACCCAGGGCCTCTGGAAGAGTAGCCAGGGCTCTTAACCGCTGAGCCAGCTCTCCAGCTTGGCTTTGAATTTCCCATCCTCCTGTCTCCATCTCCCAAGTGCTGGGACTACAGGCATGCACCACCATGACTGGTTTACAAAGTGCTGGGGATGGATGCATGCTAGGCTAGCGCTCTACCAACTGAGCTGCATCCCAGCCCCTCCCCCACTCTTCCCTCGCCCAGATTTCCTCCCCCTCCAGAGCAGTAGAGAGCACATGCAGTTGACTGTGATTGCAGCTTCCAGCCAGATTCCTGTTCCCCTCCATGTGACCTCTGTACAGCCAGCTCTAGTCTGTCACTTTCCTTTCCTGGTCAGTTGGGCCTGACCCACTGAGCCCATTTGGCGCTGAAGTTCACCTCTGTGAGTCAGGAGGTGCCTCATTCTCATGGGACATCCCAATCTAA